TGTAGGTGGGACATGGTGCTGTAGGAGGGACATGGTGCTGTAGGTGGGACATGGTGCTGTAGGAGGGACATGGTGCTGTAGGTGGGACATGGTGCTGTAGGAGGGTCATGGTGCTGTAGGAGGAACATGGTGCTGTAGGAGGGACATGGTGCTGTAGGTGGGACATGGTGCTGTAGGAGGGACATGGTGCTGTAGGTGGGACATGGTGCTGTAGGAGGGTCATGGTGCTGTAGGAGGGACATGGTGCTGTAGGAGGGACATGGTGCTGTAGGTGGGACATGGTGCTGTAGGAGGGACATGGTGCTGTAGGTGGGACATGGTGCTGTAGGAGGGTCATGGTGCTGTAGGAGGGTCATGGTGCTGTAGGTGGGACATGGTGCTGTAGGAGGGTCATGGTGCTGTAGGAGGGACATGGTGCTGTAGGAGGGACATGGTGCTGTAGGTGGGACATGGTGCTGTAGGAGGGACATGGTGCTGTAGGTGGGACATGGTGCTGTAGGAGGGACATGGTGCTGTAGGAGGGTCATGGTGCTGTAGGTGGGACATGGTGCTGTAAGAGGGACATGGTGCTGTAGGAGGGTCATGGTGCTGTAGGTGCGACATGGTGCTGTAGGAGGGACATGGTGCTGTAGGAGGGTCATGGTGCTGTAGGAGGGACATGGTGCTGTAGGAGGGTCATGGTGCTGTAAGAGGGACATGGTGCTGTAGGAGGGTCATGGTGCTGTAGGAGGGTCATGGTGCTGTAAGAGGGACATGGTGCTGTAGGAGGGTCATGGTGCTGTAGGTGGGACATGGTGCTGTAGGTGGGACATGGTGCTGTAGGAGGGTCATGGTGCTGTAGGTGGGACATGGTGCTGTAGGTGGGACATGGTGCTGTAGGAGGGTCATGGTGCTGTAAGAGGGACATGGTGCTGTAGGAGGGTCATGGTGCTGTAGGTGGGACATGGTGCTGTAGGAGGGACATGGTGCTGTAGGAGGGTCATGGTGCTGTAGGAGGGTCATGGTGCTGTAGGTGGGACATGGTGCTGTAGGAGGGTCATGGTGCTGTAGGTGGGACATGGTGCTGTAGGAGGGACATGGTGCTGTAGGAGGGTCATGGTGCTGTAAGAGGGACATGGTGCTGTAGGAGGGTCATGGTGCTGTAGGTGGGACATGGTGCTGTAGGAGGGACATGGTGCTGTAGGAGGGTCATGGTGCTGTAGGAGGGTCATGGTGCTGTAGGTGGGACATGGTGCTGTAGGAGGGACATGGTGCTGTAGGAGGGTCATGGTGCTGTAGGAGGGTCATGGTGCTGTAGGTGGGACATGGTGCTGTAGGAGGGACATGGTGCTGTAGGAGGGTCATGGTGCTGTAGGTGGGACATGGTGCTGTAGGAGGGACATGGTGCTGTAGGAGGGACATGATGCTGTAGGAGGGACATGGTGCTGTAGGAGGGTCATGGTGCTGTAGGAGGGACATGGTGCTGTAGGTGGGACATGGTGCTGTAGGAGGGACATGGTGCTGTAGGAGGGTCATGGTGCTGTAGGTGGGACATGGTGCTGTAGGTGGGACATGGTGCTGTAGGTGGGACATGGTGCTGTAGGAGGGTCATGGTGCTGTAGGAGGGACATGGTGCTGTAGGTGGGACATGGTGCTGTAGGTGGGACATGGTGCTGTAGGAGGGACATGGTGCTGTAGGAGGGTCATGGTGCTGTAGGTGGGACATGGTGCTGTAGGAGGGTCATGGTGCTGTAGGTGGGACATGGTGCTGTAGGTGGGACATGGTGCTGTAGGAGGGACATGGTGCTGTAGGAGGGTCATGGTGCTGTAGGAGGGACATGGTGCTGTAGGAGGGACATGGTGCTGTAGGAGGGTCATGGTGCTGTAGGAGGGACATGGTGCTGTAGGAGGGTCATGGTGCTGTAGGTGGGACATGGTGCTGTAGGAGGGTCATGGTGCTGTAGGTGGGACATGGTGCTGTAGGTGGGACATGGTGCTGTAGGAGGGACATGGTGCTGTAGGAGGGTCATGGTGCTGTAGGAGGGACATGGTGCTGTAGGAGGGTCATGGTGCTGTAGGTGGGGCATGGTGCTGTAGGAGGGACATGGTGCTGTAGGAGGGTCATGGTGCTGTAGGAGGGACATGGTGCTGTTGGAGGGTCATGGTGCTGTAGGAGGGACATGGTGCTGTAGGTGGGACATGGTGCTGTAGGTGGGACATGGTGCTGTAGGAGGGACATAGTGCTGTAGGAGGGACATGGTGCTGTAGGAGGGACATGGTGCTGTAGGAGGGTCATGGTGCTGTAGGAGGGACATGGTGCTGTAGGAGGGTCATGGTGCTGTAGGAGGGACATGGTGCTGTAGGAGGGACATGGTGCTGTAAGAGGGACATGGTGCTGTAGGAGGGACATGGTGCTGTAGGAGGGACATGGTGCTGTAGGAGGGACATAGTGCTATAGGGGGGACATGGTGCTTTAGGGGAAACATATGGGGCTGTAGGAGGGACATGGCGCTGTTGGCACTCGCCCTTTTGAGAGAGGTGAGAGGCGTGGAGGGAGGGAGACACAACACCCGCCCTGCTGAGAGAGTGTAACAGGGACGGGGCATTGTCTCCTCTTCGTCCACTACCCAGACCTTAGTTAACTAAACTCAATGACACCAGAGCGCCACTGTAGCCTTCAGTCCACTCCTTGTGATCTTAGATGGTTGATCGCCTTAGATGCTACAAACACCAACACTGTTCTGGCCCCTAGCAAACTCAAGGATCTTCTCAGCTGCCACCACCAAACCCAGTGATCTTGACGATTAATTAATTGTGGTTTGGTATCAATCAATCAACCATTAAATCCTTCGGGGTTAATCCCCAATTAATCGAACTGGGAGGGATGAATTTACGTTAAGTGTGGAATTAAATCGAAACCCCAGGGAATATCCGATATTAAATAAATGTTTACTGGCGTGCAGAGAGTGCCAAAGGTAAAGGCACAGGGTCTTGAGACCACAACAGAATGTAAAGTAACCGTTATGGAGAAATTCTACTCAACACCATAAATACTGAAAAAGATTTATTAAACAAAGCTTACATTATGTAAAAAAAAACATGCCCTATCACAATACTCCCTAACTAAAATGCATCCTACTGAAATATTTCCTAAGTTAGGGGCAATGAGTTTAAAATCAACTGTACTAAACTCTTAAGCATGTTACCTGATATTCGCCTGGTCGTCCGGGGTTGATGTTCGTCTCCCAGCTGCCCAATCCGCACTACTTAGCCTACTCAAGCTGAGACTGAAGCTAGCTAGAATTACTCTGCTATCCTCTCTGACTGCTAAACTACTAAGAAGGGTTAATTCAACAAACTAATCTTATTTACTGGCCACCCAGATGGTTGAATTCTTATTGAAACTTATGGTAATTCTATAGGCATCTTGGACCAGTTTTTTTTAAATTACAATATTGAATAGTGACCTGAATTCATAATTTATGAATTAACAATACGGGCGGTTGTGGTCACCCTCCGGCCATGTGTTGTTGTTGTTGTTGAGTTAAGGGCAACGACGATCGTGGGATCGGATGCGCCCCGGCTCACCCGTGAAGTGTGAATCGCGAAGCCAGGAAAGGCGAAACGCCAAGCCAAAACGCGAAACGAGTGACACCAAGCACTAGAAACTAATATGCCACACGGCAAAGAAACGCACAAAGGGAGAGGCAGAAGCACATAATATAATAGGGCAAACAAACAGCCAGAGGGGCACACAGCATTTCTTAGACCAAATACACAGGAAATCAGAGCACCTACTTGCCCGGAAACCTGGCCCGTGGGAACCGTACATTGAACGACTCACAGAACACCCATTGCAAAGGGTCCCGTCCATCCACCGGGGACACCATAACATCCGGAACCGGGGCAACAAACACCTGCAAACAGGGGACCCAGATGGTAGTACTCAGGAGGTGAGAAGTCGCTACTCGCCCCCACAGGAAGGGAACTTGCCCATGAAAGTACTCCGGTCCGTCAGACAGCAGTAACTTGGCAATCTCTAACCAGTGACCCGGCGGCATCACAGACGCCGGCAATATGTCCCCCAGGGCCCCAACGCGCACCCGCGTCACAGGGGTACCCGCGGCTCCGGGCACACCACCAGACGACAGCAGCGAACCCGGACGGTGCGCATCCTTCCGTAACGTCACCACCAGGCCACGCCCAGCACCAGAGTCCACACCATCCCTGGCAGCGGAAGCCACCACCCCCCCACCCTCCCCACCGCGGAGAGTCCCCCGGCGGAGAAAGAACCGAAGGCACGTCCGAGACACAGGCACCAGCACCAGCACCAGCAGGCACATGGACCTCCGCCACCACGAACTGCAGAGACATCGACGTATCCGTATCCACACCGCCAATACCTGAAGACCTACAGTCACTGAAGTCACCAACGTCGGCCCAGGCAGAAGACGAACGCCGGGAATGTTTGGGCACCGGCCGGATATCGTCAGAGCCGGTAAGTGACCCAGAAACATGGGTACCACGAGCCGGATGAACCGACGCCCGACACAGAACGGCAGCAGCCTCTACCACAGGGGGAACCGGGCCACACACAACAGGAGGCTCCACAGCCACCCCAGCACCCAGCACATCCGGGACTCGAGTCACGGACACAGGGCCAGGCGCAGCATCAGAAGACGAGAGAGAAGACAGCGACGTCACACAGGGAGCTCCAGGAAGGCCCACGGGAGCAGCTGGGACAGCGACAGGATCAGGCAGACCAACCGATGATACTGCAATACCCGGAGGAGGGTCGGCAACAACCGGAGGAACGTCAGGCGTCGCCGGGGGAGCTGCAGCAGCAAACGGGATGCACACCTCCTCATCATCATCACCGGAGACTGCCTCCAGAGGGAGCAGCGGGAAATCCTCTTCTCTGAACAAGTTGACAGGCGCAGCTGGGGCCTCAGAGCACCTGGCAGCCTGATGCCCCCAACAGGCCACACCGGAAACAGGTACGAGGCTGCCGGGCATAATACAATCGGACGTAGTAACCCATAAGCCGGGCAGAAGAAGGTATATCCGACCACAGGCGCATTTTCAACGTGCAAATGTTCGTTCGCCTCCCAGCATACCACCCCGAGGAGAGCGTGTTCAGCCGCACGCTGACAACAGTACCAAACCTCCCGAAGTAACGCAGGAGGAGGTCTTCAGGGAACTCCAGGGGCGCACCATGAACACTGACATAAGTCAGGGCTCCACTGCGGTCCAGGAGGAAGATGGCCCCCCATGTCAGAACCGCCACGTCAACGCAGCCAGGCAGGCAACAAAATTGGGAGGGCAGAGATGCCCACACCACCTTGCGACCAAAACGGCAAACAACCCCAACAGCCACGGAGGATCGGTAAACGTCCTCACTCCATGGCTGCTAGCAGTCGACTCCTCCGGCCACGTGACCTTGACCCAGGGTGAGTCATAGCTGGCCTGACGAACTAGCCCTTCTCTAATTGGCGTCACTGTCTCTTAAATAGCAAACGAGCCTTGATCTTTCCTCTACATTCATGTTAACCTAACCTAAGTCCTTAAACCAGAATTGGTTCTTACTGCAATTACTGTATTTATCGAATTATTCATCACGGTTTAATTAATACAAGGGAAACAGCCATCTTGTTTTCTATCATCGCTAATCCCTTAATCTCTGGCAAGTGACCTTTTCTCTGCTAGCCAGGTAAAACTACTCTCTCACTACCAGCCTGTGTTCATATGGTACAATTTAACCCCGATGATCTGAGACCTATAACTTCTAAAACAAGCTTAGCTCGTTACAAGAGGTGAGAGGTCTGGAGGGAGAGAGACACAACACCCACCCTGCTGAGAGAGGTGAGAGAGGCCTGGAGGGAGAGAGAGAGAGAGACACAACACCCGCCCTGCTGAGAGAAGTGAGGGACACAACACCCGCCCTGCTGAGAGAGGTGAGGGACACAATACCCGCTCTGCTGAGAGAGGTGAGAGACACAACACCCGCCCTGATGAGAGAAGTGAGGGACACAACACCCGCCCTGCTGAGAGAGGTGAGGGACACAATACCCGCTCTGCTGAGAGAGGTGAGAGACACAACACCCGCCCTGCTGAGAGAGGTGAGAGACACAACACCCGCCCTGCTGAGAGAGGTGAGAGACACAACACCCGCCCTGCTGAGAGAGGTGAGGGACACAATACCCGCTCTGCTGAGAGAGGTGAGAGACACAACACCCGCCCTGCTGAGAGAGGTGAGAGACACAACACCCACCCTGCTGAGAAAGGTGAGACACAACACCCACCCTGCTGAGAGAGGAGAAACACAACACCCGCCCTGCTGAGAGAGGTGAGAGACACATCACCCGCCCTGCTGAGAAAGGTGAGACACAACACCCACCCTGCTGAGAGAGGAGAAACACAACACCCGCCCTGCTGAGAGAGGTGAGACACAACACCCACCCTGCTGAGAGAGGTGAGAGATATCCAGGAAGCTTCTAACTTTTATAATAAGTTTTGCGTCCTTTGACAGAAGTCGTATTGGCCGGGTATTGAGAAGTGACGGAACCTTTCCCAGGTAGATGTTCTCTGGTGTTGACGCGTGAGAGCCCTGGGGTGATGGGTGAGGGCCTCAGGGTGATGGGCGAGGGCCCCAGGGTGATCGGTGAGGGCCCCGGGGTGACGGGTGAGGGCCCCGGGGTGATGGATCAGATCCCCGGGGTGACGGGGGAGGGCCCCTGGGTGATGGGGGACGGCCCCTGGGTGATGAGGGAAGGCACCTGGGTGATGGGTGAGAACCCCGGGGTGATGGGTGAGAGCCCCGGGGGATGGGTGAGAGCCCCGAGGTGATAGGTGAGGGCCCCTGGGTGATGGGTGAGGGCCCCAGGGTGATGGTTGAGAATCCTTGAGTGATGGATGAGGGCCCCAGGGTGATGGATTAGGGCCCTGGAGTGATGGGTGAAGGTCCCGGGGTGATGGGTGAGGGCCCCAGGGTGATGGATTAGGGCCCTGGAGTGATGGGTGAAGGTCCCGAGGTGATGGATGAGGGCCCCAGGGTGATGGATTAGAGCCTTGGAGTGATGGGTGAAGGTCCCGGGGTGATGGGTGAGGGCCCCAGGGTGATGGGTGAGGGCCCCAGAGAGATGGATGAGGGCCCTGAGGTGATAGGTGAGAGCTCCGGGGTGATGGGTGAGAGCCCCAGGGTGGTGGATGAGGGCCCCAGGGTGATAGATGAGGGCCCCGGAGTGACAGGTGAGAGACCCAGGGTGATGAATGAGGGCCCCGGGGTGATGGGTGAGGGTCCTTGGGTGATGGATGAGGGCCCCGGGGTGATGGGTGAGGGCCCCGGGGAGATAGGTGAGAGCCCCAGGGTGATGGGTGAGGGCCCCAGGGTGATGGGTGTGGATCCTTGAATGATGGATGAGGGCCCCAGGATGACGGGTGAGGGCCCCGGGGTGATGGGTGAGGGCCCCGGGGTGACGGGTGAGGGCCCCAGGGTGTTGGGTGAGAACCCCAGGGTGATGGATGAGGGCCACGGGGTGATGGGTGAGGGCCCCGGGGTGACGGGTGAGGGCCCCAGGGTGTTGGGTGAGAACCCCAGGGTGATGGATGACGGCCCCGGGGTGACGGGTGAGGGCTCCGGGGTGATGGGCGAGGGCCCCGGGTGTGATGGGTGAGGGCCCCGGGGTGACGGGTGAGGGCCCCGGGGTGATGGGTGAGGGCCCCGAGGTGATAGGTGAGGGCCCCGAGGTGATAGGTGAGGGCCCCAGGGTGATGGGTGACTAGGGCCCCGGGGTGATGGGTGAGGGCCCCGGGGTGATGGGTGAGGGCCCCAGGGTGACGGGTGAGGGCCCCGGGGTGATGCGTGAGGGCCCCGGGGTAATGGGTGAGGGGCCCCCTGGGGTGATGGGTGAGGGCCCCAGGGTGATGGGTGAGGGGCCCCGGGGTGATGAGTGAGGGCCCCGGGGTGATGGGTGAGGGGCCCCGGGGTGGTGGGTGAGCTGGGTGCTCGGGGTGATTGGTAAGGGCCCCGGGGTGATGGGTGAGGGCCCTGGGGTGATGAGTGAGGGGCCCAAGGTGATGGGTGAGGGCCCCTGGGTGATGGGTGAGGGCCCCAGGGTGATGGGTGAGGGGCCCCAGGGTGATGGGTGAGGGGCCCTGGGGTGATGGGTTAGGGCCTCAGGGTGATGGGTGAGAGGCCCTGGGGTGATGAGTGAGGGGCCCTGGGGTGTTGGGCCCCCTGGGGTGATGGGTGAGGGCCCCAGGGTGATGGGTGAGGCTCTATCGTCTCTTGATCTTAGTATCATTGCGGAGTCCCTCCATTATACAATCTGTATCATCCTCCTCACACTGTTCTAATAGATTTTTTTTGTTATCGGCATTATTTTCTATTGGTGGACCTGCACTATATCGGATCACAATAGCTATAACATGCGGTTCTCTGTCTGGCAAGGGAGAAGGAGAAAAGAAAGCTCCTCCTACTTTGATGGATCAGCTACCATCACATAGTTACTTAACCCTTAAGTTGGGAAAACATCATATGATGGGTTGAGTAACTTGCTGTAAATTGCGCATCCCATCATATGATGTATTGGAGTACTACGCAAGATTTAAACGGCCTGCGGATACACGGGGTCCACCTTATCTCCATCAGGGCTCTTGTAAACAGACGCCATTTTTTTTTAAATCGTGGGCCAAATTCCCGGGTGTGAGGGCCTCAGTATTGAGTGAGCCAGTGGCAGCCAGTGGCGGGCTGCAACTGCCACTCAGCATACCAACTTTGTGGTTCCGTTATGGTGAACATGAATGTAGATACTTATATATAACATGTATATACAGTGTAATAACAGGAAAAGGAGTGTGGGGGAGAAGCCATTTTGGAGATGGATGTGGCAACATCTGCATGATTTGTCATGTTGGTAGGGGTGGCCACTATGCTCTTTGGGCATTATACTGACTTAGTTGAACGGTTATTGTGAACAAAACATGTAGATACTTATATATAACGTCTGTATATATCGTAATAACACCACAAACAGTATTGTTGGGGTGAAATTTTAGTGCATCTGACCTTGAATGTGTGAGGGAAGCAGCCGCCACCTGACTGTGTGTAGCGATATCTCTTAGTGCCTGAACTAACTATATCAACTTAGTTATACAGTTGTGGTGAATAAAACATATAGATACTTATATATAACTGTTACGGACCCGAGTCCAGCGTCGGAGCACGGAGCAGTGACGACAACCCCATCTGTGAGTCCGCTCCCGAAACCCCCTCCAAATGGACAACGCCATCTAGTGAGGACGGGATATACCGGCCATAGGTGCTGGATTCCCGTCTTAATCAGCTCATAACGTAGCCGCTGCTGACCTCTGGTGAGATGGCGCTTAGACAGTGAACGCCATCTATGGAGCAAATAGGTGGACGTTTGTGTCTAAGTCTGTAAGTGAGGCTCCCTAGAGCGTCGCAGTATTAATGACGTGTCTGATTGCAGAGTCGACCTGGGACTGCTGTGTTGGACGATGGATCAGTCTACCCAAGGCAGCCAAGGTCTCTTAACGAGTCTGCTGAAGAAGCTGTGAGCCACCCCCGGACGAACTCTGTTGAGAGTAATAGCCTGCCTGAGGTGTGGCAGTGTCGGGAATCGCCTTATCCGGGGCTGGCTGGTGGAAGAGACTAGCCACTGTGGTGCTTAGTGAGGAGAGTAATCAGCAGGATCACACGAGGCTCCTGCCTAGGGCTCGCAACCCTAGTATCGGTCGTGGAGTGGCCTACACAGCGGAGCTGATCGGTACCTGCCAGCTACAGGCTGGATTGTGGTTGAAGACCTCCATGACGGAGCACCCAGTGGGACTGTGATTTGGCTGGCCTGTGGCCAGGGTAGATTCGCCAATAGAATCGTAGAGGATTGATCGTGGGCCACGGAGGAAGGAACCAGGGCTACCCAGAGCGAGCATCGTGGAGCATCCAGTGTCTTCGGAGGAAGACAACCCTGTACGTAATAGTGTAGTTATAAGCCCCGTGTGTGACTGATATTTATTTATGGTGGTGCTGAATATATATATATATAAATTGGAACATTT